TTCTGAATTAAGGTAAGACCGCTTCGGTGAGGTAAATGAAGATCAGGGATCTCAATGGACTCGCTGTAGTTGTCCGTAAACTTGGCCATTAAGCGTGAAGTACGGGCTTAGGCGGTAGTTTATTCCCGCAATCACGTGCTCCTCTTTGAAGGACTTTCTCTCTTCATGGTACCCTTTTGATAGATCACTGAAGACTCTCAGGGTGAATTCTCTAGAAGCGAAGGCAAACCGAAGCACAAGGTGCTTTCCTAGTGCGTTTCTGAAATTTGCCAAAAGTCCACAAAAAACTTTTCTGACTGATTGTTGCACTCAGAGACGCATGCGTTTGAAGGAGGCAACAGAGAGTTCAGAACACGCAATCATGCCCGCAGCGCAGTTTCAGAAGTAAGTCAGAGGCGCCGGTGGTGTCCTTTGCCATCTCTCTTTATTTCTCACTCACTCACTGATAGTTGACCGCGAGCGTCCTCAATGACGTATCAAGAAGGCCATAGTGGAGACCGAAACGCCTTCAGATAGAAACACGTGATTGAGGTAATAAGCTATCGCTTAAAAACGTGGGTTGCGTGTGACGTCCAAATAAACAAGTAAATCCAATGAACCCATATAGTGTCCTTAATTCTCGATCACCTCGCTGAGGCAACTTTACAGAAATTCAAAATTCTGATCTTCCCCTCATAAAAATCATAATTCGGGATGATGAGGCGTGAAAAAATTAAATAATGATTTATTTGCCATACTAGCCAAAAGCCCAGACATTTGATTCGCCGATGTTGGGTCCTTGCGTAATGCTCTGCAAGGGGCTTGCCTCAGAATTGACTCCCTCAGCGCCCCTTTATGCGCTTTTTGGCGCATACTTCAGGCTTTAATATTAAGTCTGCTTATTTTCTCGAAAACCTATGGGCGAAATTAAAGAAAAATCTGCAAAATAAGTGTTTGAGCCTTTGGCTGCGAGTATGGTAAATCGATCAGCTTTTGAAAATTACTGAAAACCTGTGAACAGAATATGAATATTATGTGGTTTCTCTGCTGAAGCCTTCTCACCGCATCTGGGAAAGTTTAAGTCGAAGAATTTACTCCAGATTCATACATTAATTTCTGAGGAAAGTAAAAAACAAAGCCTTTGCGCGACTTTATTTCCAATTGAAATTCACAATGAGAGAAGCGAAATGAGCACGATTACCTGTTTTAATGCCCAGCAGTGAAGGCTACAAGCCTGGCGTCTTTTGAAAAGTGACAAACAGCGAAAATCCTTAATTACACTGGCAACCATTCTCTGTACCACAGCTTCAATTGCGTCCAATAACCGGGAAGGCTATATTTATATAATTCGGGGGGCAATGT